GATGCATGTTTAAGCATAAATGTATGTATTATGATTATAACATAATATTCTAATTGGGGTGTTTGAGGGTGTGCATTAATTACGTTACGTGTTATATAACATGACATGATTGAGTGCCGAGTGACCGGGCTGGTGGAGTGAGTGCAGCGCCTGTCTGATATATATATGTCAATGTACAAGTGTCCGTGTGTCTGTGTGTCCGTGAAGTACTGTGACGTCATGATCTCTATCACTGCCAATATTGACACAACACTATAAGACTTTTAAGTTGAGACTGATTTTATTTTCTTTTACATTTTTTAGTAGTTAAGTTAAAACCCAGTACAAATATTTAATTTTCCTCGAGAATACTATGATAGTAATTTAAGATATTTATTGACTGATGTTTATTTAACGCATGCGGCCGCGCCACTGACCGTACCACTGAGGTACCCGACGAGTGCCGAGAACTGAACTTGTTGTTTTTCAATAGGGATGATTAATTTTTTTTATTTGATAATTTACTTTTTCTATTTTCTCATTAATTAAATTAGTTGTAGGATTTTTATAGTATTTTTCTAGCTATATAAGAATAACAAAATAACTATTATATTCTACAAAAAACATGTCGTCGCAGCTTGCAATGTCATCATACAAAATTCATAGGAATTATACTGATATCTTTTTTTACATTATTTCATCTATACTCCGAATTTTAATTCGATTCCAGATCTGACAATTTCAGTGTTGCAACGTTATGACAAGTACTAAATAGTGACGTTGCGAAATTATTCGATATGGAAATGCAATATTTCTGGATCGATTCTTCTCGTTTATAATTTTACTCTCGTAAACTAAGGATATCAGGAAATTAAATATTTCTGACCGATAATTTAGTTTTGACGATTACTTAACGATCTGAGACTTTTCTTTTATAATTGTGTGTGAAATAACTAAAAAAATGTAATCATGAAGGAACATGACAAATAAAACAGATAGATGTATTATGGTAATAAGTTATAAATTGTCGCCGTCATCGCTATCGCTATCCTGTCACTTTCTGTAACATTTATTATAAAACACATACACTGATTGTTTATCGATTTTTGTGTTCATCACTACGCTATTATATGTGGTATCATTATTTCACAAAATGACAGTAGCTATTGTCAAATCTGGAATCTAATTAAAAATCTGACTATAGCTTTGATGTTGACAAGTTGTCATCTACTATTGTATGTTGAATTTCGCTAGGTATATTCGCGCAAACGTCAGTGGTGGATGGTGACCGATGACCGATCACAGTCATGGTAATAATATCATACAGTAAGTGCCTATCGGTCGGTCGCGACTCTTTGTAACATTTTATTATATTACTAATCGTATTACTAATAGTAGCTATGTATGTGCTAGGTAGCTGATGTATGTATGCGGGGTGCGCTATGTCCTGACTCAGTAATGTCTCGGATATTGGTGAGGGTGACTGATCGTCTTTCAACTATTTAAAATACCTGAGTCGGTGGCAGAGCAACCCACCACTTGGTGCCATTTAGAGTAAACTGCCTAGAGAGGAACTCATCCTAGATGTACACTAACCTATTATAATAATAAACGTGTCATTGAGTATTTTGTGCGTGTTATTTACCTACTGCCATTAAAAATTACATCGTCACTCTGCTTCGGCTGCCTGCCACAGCAGCAAGTGTAATGTTACAGCCAGTGATTAATTTGATATTATACATAATGACCAAATTGCTTGTCCAATGTGATAAATTAATCACTTTAACCGGATATTATAAATATTAGCAGGCTCAAGTTTAACTAAAGTGATAAATACGACCTACCGGCTCAGTCACGACTGCGGTTTTAGCGGTGAGCGGCGCGGCGTCGTAGAAAATCACGGCTGGACGACTAACCGAAATGAATACGGCTGAGTCAAATCCGACGCTGCTCGAAATGTTCAACTTTCATCATGAGTTTAGCTTCGATGGTTTTCGAGTGTGGTGAAAACGTAAAAATTGGTGTTGTCAAAATGTAAAAATTTTGCCCGCCATCTTTGATTTACATTTTGTCAGCACCATTGCAGAACGTCTCACAAGAATGGTTAAACACATTGAGAATCCTTTCAGCCGCCGCGCCTATTTTTTTTTTTTTTTTTTTTTTTTTTTTTCAAAATCATCGAATGACTGCCCCCGCCTGGGTGAGGCGGGAGGGAGTGTCAGACTCTTACTGACTAAAAACCACCCCGTTCCTTCTCCTGCACGTCGAGCCGGAGCCCCGGTTACCCGTTAGGTTCTCCGCGACTCCGAATCGGCATCGGCCCTATTGGGCCCCATCTGTGGTGGTCTGATGGCTCTTTGAGGCGCGCGCGGAACGCGACGCGCCGTACGCTCGGGTCTGTTTCTGGTCGGACGGGGAGCCACCCATGCTCGCCGTCCGCAGGCCCGCGCTTACGGTGGCCGGAGATCGTCCCGCGATCCCCGACGCCCGGTGTGTCCTTCGCGATGGCTGGGTTGCGAGGAGGCAGCGCTTCGCTGCCTCACGCGTCCCGCCTCCTCCTTAGCTAGCATGACTGCTTCGCAAAAGGAGGAGACGGCATCCCAATCCCCCTCGCTCCGCATCATGGCCTGCACTAGGCCCGGACGCGAGAGGTCGCCATCGCCGATCACTTCCCTGAGGACACGGCGGTGCTCAGCCCACGAAGGGCATTCTCCCACCGTGTGTTCCACCGTGTCCTCAGGGCGGTCCTCGCAGTGATGACACCCGGGCGTTTCCTCCCGCCCCATCAGACACAGGTACCTCCCGAAACTTCCATGTCCGGTGAGGACCTGCGTCAGGCGGTAGGTGAGGACGCCGTAGCGTCTCTCAAGCCACTCCTCAAAGAGGGGACTTACCGCTGCGATGGCAGCGAGCCCAGCCCTCGGTTGCGACAGTCGTTGCTGCCATTCCGCCATGAGATCGCGCCGGAGCTCATCCCGCCACGCACCTATCTGGCGCGGCAGCGGGGTTTCGCCCCGGCGACGTGCCTCCGCGCGCATGCTGTACACGCGCGCGAGCACCTTCGCCTCCAGATCCCACGGCGGTAATCCGGCAAGGAGGTTCGCCGACTCCCCAGAGATCGTGCGGTATCCGCGGATCATTCGGATCGCCATGACCCTCTGTGCCATGAGCAGCGTCCGAGCGGGACGCCGCAACAGGTTTGGCGCCCAAACAGGGGCGCCGTAGAGGGCCATGGACCGCACGACCCCGGCGTATAACCTCCGGAGCCGCCGCGCCTATAGATATTATGTGTAATGATCTTTGATGTCTGTAGACGTGAATGTCCTAAATTAACCGACTCAGAAGGAGGTCCTCTGTTTGACCTGTATGTACACCTGTGAGCGATCATCTTGAAGCGATTATAATGGGGTTTTATGGGGGAAACGGATTATAAAGGGGGAGGGGGGGTTAAAATCGTTTTTTTAAACGTAGTTTATAAAAGAATTGCAAAAGTCTTTACTTCTCTATTAAGTCTTATTTGTTTATGTGTCACGACTGTGATTAGTTTCTTATGGGATTGGGCGGCGAACGAACAGACTGATCACTTGATATAGGTAGCAAACTGCGCAACCCATGGAGATCAAAAAAGTTACAAGGGCCTTGCCCTATGGGTAGCATCTTGCCGGCCGCTCCAAATGTGTTACTTGTAATGTGTCAATGGTAATCTTTAATATGTAGTCGTATGTAATGTCCGTAGTTCGTACCTAATTTAATTGCTCTTTCATCAATAAATGCCGACCGAATGTAGGTTGATGTATTTGAGCAATTGTTCATGTGTGCGTCTGGTGGCCCGTTCTGTTGCCATCTAATTGTCGTTTATTGGCATCTTAAGAGGTCGTAATTGACGACAACGAGGCAGGCCCGCGGCCGCTCTGTGGCCGCGTGGCGTCGCCGCCGAGGACGCGCTGCGCCCGTGCCCTCTGACCGCTTAACAAATGCCATTGATCAACGATCTCGCATTGGAAGCAATCAAACGACCGAATTGTTAGCAGATGAGTAGCCAGCCGATTGTTGACTAAATTAAATTCTCTGTTCCTCAGTTTATAGATTACCTCGATTTTCCCTCTAAAAAGTGCTCGAGCCATGCATGGAAAAATCACATTAATAAAATAAGTAGGAATTTATATCACCTTCACATTTCTCTAGAGTCACAATGTTAAATTCCTGGGTCGAGCAAAGTTTAATTGGTGAAAATTGGGTGTAATTCTTATTATTCGGTATGTATGTATGTGCACATTGTGCCTCGCCCTGCCTGCACTGCACCTCTGCTCTGCCTACGCCGCCAGGGAGTTATAAAAGCTAAATTCGTTCGTGTAGGTACAACTGTAATCAACATAATCATTTCTTTGTCCTCCGCTACCACGCCTAGTCCGCCGCCTTTTTTTTAAGTGGGGAAAATCTTCGAATGACTGCTCCCGCCTGGGTGAGGCGGGAGGGAGTGTCAGACTCTTACTGACTAAAAACCACCCCGTTCCTTCTCCTGCACGTCGAGACGGAGCCCCGGTTACCCGTTAGGTTCTCCGCGACACCACCCTAGGATTTCAACAATGTACAAAGGTCAAAGTAGAACCTCCGAAATGTATGAGATGTTCGAACGACAAAGCATTCTAGTAATGTCTATTATAATTTTTTTGTAATCAATTTATTAATTTACATTTTTTATACATATCTACAAAATCTTCCAATCTCAATATACCCAATTTGAGAGTCCCAAAGTCCCAAATCTACTTAGTCTGTCCAGTGGGATGCACGGGTGCCACAGGTTTTGAGGAGGTACCTACCTAGTTAGTAAGTGGATAAAATGGAGGTTTGTGGCTAAAAGTCAACCTCGCTTCAAAAATCAAAATACAAATTTTAATGATAATATTCACAATGGAAGAGTCGAGCCACATGCCAGAAAGGTTTCGTGTCGGGACTCGGGTGGCAGCGTCGGGTGTCGGCCGGGACCGGGGGCGTGGAGCGCGCCGCCGCTGTAGTCGCTCCGTCGCTCGCTAGTATAGTATGCTCTGCCAGTGCCTTACGAGACGCGGCGGCGAGCACGCGTTCCCGCGCCTCGAGTGACCGGAGTGTAGTGCATAAGTGTGCGAGTGCCACATGAGTACATGACACAGCGGACCACTGCCACTCTCCTGCGCCTTCTTTGACGCTTGCACGATGTCCTGTGCCCGGGGCCTTTGCACTGCCGAGAAGATATTCATCTTCATCAACATCGCCTTCGCAGTCAGTATTTCCTTATTTTCTTGAATATGTAGGTACGTTTACATATCTAACGTGTTGCGGATTTATATAAAATAAGTAACTTATGGGTACATAAACTTAGGACTTATCCGTTTTCTCAGTAAGTACCTACTCAAAATAATATACATAAATAATATATGTAAGAAATTACTTACCAATGTAGCTAATGAGAATAGCGTTAAAACTTGTATGTATACATATTTATAGTGCTTAGGTACCTTAAACAAAGTTCATATTCCTAAACTAAGACAGCTGCTCGTTAAAAAAAATAACTACCTAGGTACCTCTCTAGTCAGCAGAAGCACACTAGTTCCACCGTGCTACCTAAGCATAGCATGCCTTGCCTACCTGTAGAATATACATGTGTGCGTAGTTTAGTAAGTTCAATCCGAGCCCTAAACAAAACCGTTACGATTACGATGCATCACAGGAACAGGACCGGTTGTATCGGTAACGTTGTGGTCACGTGAAGAATGCAGCTTGTAAACAAAAAACGTTCCCTGCTCGCGCACCCGCCAGCCGCCTCACGGTGTCATTGCGACCCTTTCAGTTTGGTACGACTTTGTTTAAAGTCTTCATTTTTTTATAATAGGTATAATCAAAGGTGTATTCGTGAAACCGAGACGTGGGACAAAATGCCTAGAGGGTATTCTGATTGAATTTTAGGTACCTACCTAATTATTGTAATACCTTATTTGTTTTTTTCTTTATTTATATATATTTAAATATTACCTTTATCATCACAGGCACACCTAATACAATGAATGCAGTAACACTTTATAAGTAAACTTAAAAACTACTACAACCTTCATTAAAATTGATTGACATTAATTATTACACATAATCCCTTAGTAACCGTAAAATAACTTAAGAAAAACAAAGGAACATAAGCACATAGAACATCAATCAAACTTACAGGCTAATTTATTAATTACACAACTATCCCTAAACGTAAATGACATACAAAACGTAATAATAAATAATTAGTAACAACAAATATATTTATAAATCTATGTAGGTACTATCAACATAAATTATAAATAGGAATCAAATAAAGTACAAATCTTAGGAACTTAGTTATTATTAACAACAGCCTCATATGATATGCTACCTTTGTGAACTCGTTGGTTTCATTTAATAAACCTACAAAAATACCCAAAATAATAAAATCCATGGCACACGTGAATACATTTTGGTTGCAGCTGAAGTGCTGAACTAATAAGTAGGTGTCTATTCCATATACAGGGTGACTTGGAACTTGACATATTTCTCTCGGGAGGTGATAATACAACTAATTTCCTACAAAACTAGTCCTGAGGTCCCTAGTCCCAAAGTGGCTAGTTTCGTGTTGGTTAAAAAATCGCGAACTAACTACAAAAACATCAATAAATAAGAAATTACTGGTTTGATATAAGTGATTTGTTTATTGCTTCCAGTGGACCTGGACTTGCAGCGACGTGCGTCTATGTGCGACTAACATTTTCTGACATTATTATCGTGATCGATGTATTTAAATGTATGTACCTAACTAGATATCTGATGATGTCTAGATGGTTCAGGTCGCAGGCTGTCTGGGTTTCAATTTGTAACAGAATGGACAGTCCATTCCGTACCATACGGGCATCAGTTTTTCTCCGCCAGCATTGTCCAATGCAGATAAACAAGTACTTAACTAAAGAACAATTCCGGTGTCCTTCCTGTGCCCAACTCCTTTTCAAGCTCAACTCATTAATTTATATTTTTATTGATTCGTCATTTGTGGCCGTGCACTAGGAGCACTCGATCACTCTGACTACACATAATTATCTAGTAATCTGGAGTGGAATTGTAAGTTAACAGTTACTTATGTTAGATTTTACAGTTTGGTAACCAAGTTTTGTTCGTAGTACCAGTCATCAAATAAGAAAAAATTGCAAATACCTACATAACAGGTAATATTATTATGGTAATGTCAAATACGTATATGATACGTAGGTTATTTGTTTTATTTTGTCACCCACGTATACTCACATTAATCACGAGGAAAAATAATGAATAAATGTCAGATGTAAATGCTTCCCGGGTTTACCTAGGTACAATGACGTGCAGTTGTATGACCAATCGAAGGCTCGGGGCTCGGAATGATGTAGCAACTTCTTAGAACGGTTAAAATAGAACCATACCACAGATTTTACTTGTGATCTTTGGTACCCAGGGGTCCAGGGGTCTCGGCCCGGCCTGCTAAGGGTACACAATTACGGTACGCAATTAGCGGGACGATCCCCTTGTCAGACAAAATGGATTTTCTTAAAGTTAATGGTCATTATGAGAGGGAAGTAACAGATATTACACTGTGCTGTCTACTACATAGCTGGCTCATTGGCTGGTCTTGTTGTTTTCGCCGACCTCAGACTATTGGAGTATTTTCCCTGTAGTTGCTACATAGTCCGGATTGTAGTCGAAGTTGATAGGTCTTGGCGCAAAGCAATTTGAGACATAGGTTTACTTAGACGAACGAAACGTTGGTGTGTCACGGCCGCGAACACGTCACCTCCTCGACAACGTGAACAATGCCACGGACCGCTGTGCGCAGCTGCACGGGATGAATCAGTAGAGCCTCCGTCCGACTGACCGTTCAGATTCCAATCACAGGGGCGCGGGGCGGCGGCAGGGGCGCGGGGCGGCGGCGGGGGCGCATGTCGAGCTTGTGACGTGACCGTGGCATTGTGTTACTGCACAGTGCACTTGCCGCCTGTTTACTTCATTCCACCTTTCTTCTGGCTGAGATATCTCAGCCCCGGGACGAGACAGTGGTACTGGTGAGCCACTACATGTACTTCAAGCTCTCTTATTAATATGAAGGCTTTCGGGGCGCGGCCGCTACACTCGGCCACCAACCTTACGATTTTAAAACTGGCTCTGTGCGCCGGCGCACGCCACAGCTACTCTAAGCACCGGTCGATTGGTAAATTATTTACAAAGTCCAATCGTGCTATTGGCGCGTCATCTTACCTTGTACCTGATAAAAAATACATAACTAGTTGAGCAAGAGGCGGACGCGCGCTAGATGACAGGATGCCTTGGACGCGGACTGTTTTATTCACCAGTCGCATGAATTAATCAGAGTTTTCATAATTCGTGTTTTACTGTGGTTGACGCCGCGCCGTCGCTCGATATCACAGCACAGACGACAACTCGACTCATCGTCTGAGAAATGACTTCATGTTAGCTCATCTGCCAGCTTACTGAACCCTTGTAGATAAAATATAGCAAACATTTGACCCTCTTCGGGAATCGAACTCCGGACTCTACGCTTTGCTCTTACTCTTACGTCCAGTGTAACGCGAGCAGCTGAGGTAATATTGTCTCAGGTGTACTATAGACCAATACTAACTGTCTGACGTGTTTGGGAGTGGAATTGACGCCAGTAGTAGCACCTTAGTACGTAGCATGAACAGTTCGGTTAGGTAACCAAAATGTTGGCGGAGTTATTAATTAAGGCGGCAGAGGAGGCGCCCGCCAGGCGGCACCACACAAGCGAAGCCGTACTTAGGCACTGTCTCACAAGTCAGGGCGTGACGTCACCGGGACACCAGCAGGCCCTTAGCCACACGCCACACATGACGAGTAATGATGCTCTAGCTAGCTCTCCTCAACTACGAAGTTCATTGGTGACGGGTTGAGTACAGTATTTTTTGTACAGTAACAGACCAACCATGCTAGAGGCTCACGCGGGGATTGTCGCGCTGCTACTGGCTGCTATGGTCGCCGCGTCACGGGTCGCGAAATGCTGCTCATGAATATGAGCCTCTAGCATGGCTTGAAACTAGTCGAGTTCCTCGACAAACGGTTACGTGAGTAAGCAGAAAACATATTAATTAATTGTGATATGACGAGTTATTCAGTGACTAGTTGTTCAATGTTGTCTAACTTGTTAAATAATGTTCTGTACGAATATCCAAGAACAATCTCGTCGGCCTGGTCATATAGAATCTCCCGTCTGGCCGTCTATTCCGTATTAAGAATATTTAGGTATAAATTATTTATTTTCAATAAATAAAATTGTTAAGTAAATATGTTTCAATTGCTGGACACAATAGGTAGGTACATCTTAGATGAATGCTCAAATAAGATTCTTTAATTTCCATGTAAATGTAATCGACATAGTGTTGGAATTATTCATATTAATTTGACAACGAAGCAGATCATTGAACCTTGAAGTATATTAATATTTTTAAATAATATCACGAGAACATGTCAATAGAATTATTTTTTAATACAAATCTTTCGAAACATGAAAACTTGACCTACTTCACACATCCCAGTCAAGGTTTCTCTCAATTGTGTGCAAATGAAGGTGCGTCGGTCAGCTCGCACTCCACTCCTCGTGTACTCGGGGCGTCTACACCACTCTGACACTCTCCAACTAAACTAATGCTCAAATACTCAACCGCCACTCAATTTTAAAACGCTCACTCTTAAGAATAATTCTGTTCTGTGACTGTCACTGAATTTTTTTGTAAAATAACGTAGACAGAACGATATTTAAGCGCAACTTAAAATTGAGTATCTCTGCAGTCGGCAGTCTTCGTCAACGAAGGAATGTCTTACAGTTACCATTACCATAGTATTGTATGTTAAGATAATGCTAAGCATACTAACGCTGTATTGTAGCCTAATGTATCTACCCAACATTAGGCTACCACTATCGTCACTCAGTCACGTGTGGAGGGTGAGCTGAATTAGTCACTCAGGCAATGCCGAGGGAGTAGTTACTCAGCCGTCCTTCGAATAGAAAAATAAACCCTAAAAGTAACTTGAAGAAATCCAAACTGTAGACTAGACTAGGTACTTACTACCTAGTACAGTCAGGATTTTAGTAGGTCGCACGACATTGCACGTGGTATCCTGCTCTGGTGGAGCCACAGAAATATTAAAAATTTCTTTATTATGTCTATGGTTAGAGCAAAAGCACGTTGCCACTTCCCAGCTTCCTAGCGACT